GCAAGAATAAGTAGGTAAAAACGCAACAGAACACAGCAGAAGCATATCGATTCCTGAAGTAGGAAGGCGCTAGAAGTAGATTGGGAGCAGGGAATCCAGAAATACCTATTTTCAACGACCGGCGCGTACATTGGATTTCTGGGCTTCCTCCATGCTGATCCAGCCGAACCCGCCGTCCAACTGCCCGCCGCCGGCCGGCCTGGGCTTGCAGGCGCTGAGGGCCTGAGCCCCGGCCGCCACCTCTGCGCCGCCTGCGCGGCGCTTCCAGCGGGCGGCGCCCCTGCCTGCCGCTGCCGCCGCTTCTGCTCCCCCACCCTCCTCTATGTACTCCTCCTTCGACCCCTCACACATCACCTGGATCCTCTTACCGCTCCATACAAAATCCTCTCCCCGCTACTCCTCGCCCCCCACCCCCTCCTCCTCCTCCTCCTCCTCCTCCTCCTCCTCCTCCTCCTCCTCCTCTTCCTCCTGCTCTTCCTCCTCCTCCTCCGCCACCTGGTCGTCATCGTCCTCCTCCTCTTCCTCCTCCTCCTCCTCCTCCTCCTCCTCCTCCTCCATTCCTTTTCCTTATAGATGATTCCTCCCTGTCGCACCCCGAGGCCAGTTTTTAGGGGGGGCCGAGCGTTTCGCCTGAGACTTCCTCACCATGTATGACTCTGAAGCTTAAAAAGTGACAACAATTTCACAAATGGAGGGCGGGTGGTTTTCAAAAGGAAGCTCTCGCCTTGACACCGTGCACATTCGCTTTAACCATTTGCAAAAGTTTCACGGATTGGGTGCGGGTGGTTTTGAACATGTGGCTCTCGCCTTAGCGCCGCGCACATTCGTTTCAAACATTTGCAAGAGCTTCACGGGTTGAGGGCAGGTGGTTTTCAAAATGTGGAACTCTCCTGAGCGCCGCGCGCATTCCTTTTCATCATGTGCAAGAGCTTCGCGGATTGAGGGCGGGTGGTGTTCAAAATGTGGCTCTCGCCTTAGCGCCGCGCACATTCGTTTTTAAGATGTTGCAAAGAGCTTCACGGATTGAGGGCGGTTCCTTTTCAAAATGTGGCTCTCGCCGTAGCGCCGCGCACATTCTTTTTGAACATTTGCAAGAGTTTCACGGATTCCCATGATCAATGTACCAGAAATTGTGTTTTGAAAGGATTCCGGATTATGCGGGTGCAACAGTTATGTTCATTCGCGGTGCAGAAGTCCCAAAATTGGCGCTCTGGCACGATTCTGGATCGTCAAAACGCAGCTGTCAACATCCCGAGAACCATGTTTTGGCTTCAAACGGTTGTCTTCTAACGGGGCAGTTCCCTCTATGGAAATGAGCCGTTGTGGGGGCCTATGAAGATGGAGCTTGGAGGGAGGGTTGATCCCAACATCGTTGATGACTCTTGATTTTACACTGGTCCTCCTCCTCATCCTCCTCCTCCTCCTCCTCCTCCTCCTCCTCCTCCTCTTCCTCCTCCCCCTCCTCCCCCTCCTCCCCCTCCTCCTCCTCCCCCTCCTCCACCACCTGGTCGTCCTCCTCGCGCCTGCACCGTTCTCCTGTCCTGGGGCCCCGCCCGCGGCCCTGCCAGGAGGCGTGCAGTGCCCGTCGAGGTTCCAGCGCTGCTGCGCGAAATTCCTCGCCCATCAGCAGCACGAGGGGTGGGATGAGGGGGAGGGCCAGGACGCGGAGGACGAAGAGGAGGCTCCTCCTCCTAGAGGCAAGGGCCAACACAGCTGGACCAGCGGGAGGAACAGGGAAAGCTGGGCGCTGATTGCGGTCGGCCACACCGCCCCCGCTCCCGCCCCCTGCTCTCCACGCCCGCCCCCCCTCCCTCTCTACAACCCCCCCGTTCCCTCCCGTGTCTCCCCTGCCCACCCCGCCCTCTTCCCTCCCCTCCCTCCTCCTCCTGCCCCCATTCACCCTTCCCTCCGCTCCATTCCCCCCTTGCTCCTCCCCTCTCCTCAGACGACGCCGCTTTTTCGCGACGTGGGCCCACGGGGTCTCGACCTCTTCACGGGGACAAATTTTCATCCTGGGTCGTTTGAGATGGTCTCCAGAGGCCGGAAACATCGACAAACTGGCAGTCGCGATATTTTGCGTCGCGTGGCTCTGGAGGCATCTCCTCTCTCCCCTCCTCCATCCCCTCCCCCTCTCCCTCTCCCTCCCCTCCCTCCTCCCCGCCCCACCCTTCCCTCCGTTCCACACCCCGCTGTTCTATCCCCCCCCTTCCTCCTCCCCCCTCCCGGCGATCGAAGGCTCACCTTCGCCCCTGACACCCTCTGATCAGAAGGGGCATCGCGACAACAAGGTAGGCGAACGCGAGCCATTTCCTTCCCCTCCCCTCCCTCCCCCCTCCCCCCTCCCCCTCCCCCTCTCCCCCCTCCCCCTCCCCCCCCTCCCCTCCACTCCCTCCACCTCCCCCCCCTTTATACACATTTACACAATATAGATAGGCGGGCGTGGTCTCGCAAGCCCGGCTGGGCCACCACATTTTGCTCGCTACTTCAAGAAAGAAACAGTCTCTCTCTCTCTGTCTCTCTTTCGCTTTTTGTCTCTGTCTCTGTCTCTGTCTCTGTCTCTGTCTCTGGCTCTGGCTCTGGCTCTGGCTCTCTCTCTCTCTCTCTCCTCTTTCTCTCTCTTCTCTTTCTCTCTTCTCTCTCTCTCTCCTCTCTCCCTCTCTCTTTTGAGTTTCTCTCTCTCTCTCTCTCTCTCTCTCTCTTTTTTTTCTCTCTCTCTCTCTCTCTCTCTCTCCCCCCTCTCTCTCTCCCTCTCTCTCTCTCTCTCTCTGCTGCCGTCTGGAGGTTATCCTGGGCGATTTGGACCGATCGGTCGGCCACTCGGGGTCCTCTCTCTATTTTTTTTTTCTCTCTCTCTCTCTCTCTCTCTCTCTCTCTCTCTCTCTCTCTCCCTCTCTATTTCTCGCGCTCTCTCTCTCTCTCTCGTGAATTGCTCTCTCTCTCTCTCAATCTCTCTCTCTCTCTCTCTCTCTCTCTCTCTGCGGCGGGCGTGGCTGGCAATGCCAGAGGCAGCGGCAGGGGTGGCGGCGGTGGCGGCGCTGGTGGCGGCGGCTCTCGCAGTAGTGGCAGTGGCAGCGGCAGCCCCGGCGGCCGTGCTTGTGGGGGCCTCAAGGCTTTGGAGGCAGAACAGAGGGTCGCAAATGGGGATTTCTTGGCTCTGCGGAGGGCGTCCCCTACACGGCGCTCGTGTGCCTAAATTCCACGTTCCGGCCGTGTGCAAAGCCCCAAATGAGGCTAAACCGCTTTACTTGCACAGGATTCTTTCTACAGTGATTTCTGTTGCAGTTGCAATATCACTACATTTGGCTCCATTCTGGGGATCCTCCAGAGTTACACCGAAACCCTGCCGAGGCAGTGTTGGGAGCTGCGCGGTGTGGCGCGCTGGGCCCTGGAGGTGCAGTGGACAGCCACGTCCGCGGTTGAGGAAAAACATGCATTCCTTGGGGTGGGGGGGGTGCACCATTGCACTCGCCACAGCCACCGCCCGCCGCCCCTATTTTCCACCGCCCCAGCTACGCTGCCGCCATCGCCGCCTGTGCTTCATGGCTGCCCCCCCAGCCCCGCTACTGCCACTTCCACTGCAAGTGCGACCACTGTAGCACCCCTACACCGATGGCCGCGCTCCGCCCCGCACCAGCACTGCCACCGCCTCCACCGCGCGCCTAATCCCACATTGGCTACACACGCAGTAGCGACAACCACTACCAACAAAATTTTCAGACAACCAATGCTTTAGCTACCGCATCCATCTGCGCTCCCGCCACTTCTTGGCACCGTTACCGGGCTCCTGCCATTCGATAAACACTGTAGTTCGACACCTGTGCAAGTAACGCCGTTGTAGTCATGTGAATGGCCTCAAACAGTCGGAATTGATTTCCAAGAGAGAGCTAGAGCGACAGAGAGAGCGATGGGGCGAGCGAATGCGAGCGGAAAAGAGAGAGAAAGAGAGACAGAGAGAGAGAGAGAGATAGACAAGAGAGAGAGAGAGAGAGTGAGAGAGAGACAGCGAGATACAGAGAGAAAGAGAGAGAGAGAGAGAGAGAACAAACAACAAGAGAGACAGAGAGAGAGAGAGAGAGCGCCGCCACCGCCGCCACTGCTGCACCGGCAGCCAACTTCTCACTGCTACCCCGCCTGCGCGACCGCGCCCGCGTCCGCCACTACCACCACACACGCCACCACGCCTGCCCCGCGGCGCGCCGCAGCCACTACCACCGCCGCAGCCAGCGCCCTTCGCCCAAAATACCATGTCCACCCCCACCACCATCGCCGCTGCCGCCGCCACTTCACCGCTGCCGCGGCCACGGCCCCCACTACCCGCCCCATGCGCCGCCGCCACCAACACCACTGCCGCCCCCAGTGCCACTGGCTGCCCTGCCGCCACGGGCCTTGCCGCCGCCGCTGCCACTAGTTCGAGGCACCCAACGCCCCAGCGCCCGCAACGCCAACGCCGCGGCCCCCAGAACCTCTTCAACCCCAACGGCGGCCGCGCTCCCCGCCGCCGCCGCTGCCGCCAACACCACCACCGACAACGCCGCCGCCCATGCGGCACCCCTACCAACAACGCGGCGACGACAATCGGCGCCCCCACCACTGCTGCCACCACCGCTGCCACCACTGCTGCCGCCACGCACGCCACAACCACCACCACCACCACCACCGCCACCACCACCACCACCACCACGACGACGACGACGACGACGACGACGACGACCACGACGACGACTACTACCACTACCACCACTACTGCCACCACCACCACTACGCACACGACTGCCGCTACGACTACCACCACCACTGCCACTTCTTCTTTTACTACTACTACTACTACTACTACTACTACTACTACTACTACTACTACTACTACTACCACTACTACTACTACCACTGCTACTACTACTACTACTACTACTACTACTACTACTACTACTACTACTACTACTACTACTACTACTGCTAGTGCTACTCCTACCACTACTACTACTACTACCACTACTACTACT